GGAAAGATGGGGTGAGTTCGTTAGTGATCGGGTCATAAAAATGAATGGGAAATATAAAGCGCCAGTGACGTCAGCGTCGACGAAGCCGCCCGCCTCGCATTAACTCATGAGCCCTGTGCACAAGGCGCTTGCCACACGTCCACGGCTCACAGTTAGCACTCAGTTTCTTTTGATTTAATTAAAAATCCCGCTTTTCCATTTTCTCAAAAGGAACTATATTCATTTTAACATGGTTTCTAATGCAGCTTCTACGAGGACGCGAGCACGGTTCGGTGCAAAACCCGAACTCACCCGAGCGTCTCAAATTTGCGGAAAAGTTGCGCTTTTTGAACTACGTATTTCTCTGTTTCTAAGTTATATTTTCGCGTTTTTAATGTGCACATCGTGTACTACGCCTCATTCATCTGATGCCGCAATCACACGCTGAATTGGACTGCATTTTGCAATTTGGAACTATAAATTCTGGCCCGGTTTAAGAAAAAACGCATGTGCCATTAGTATCCCTATGCACATAAGTATTTTTCTCAAATGAGCCAGAATTTATAGTTCCAAATTGCAAAATGCAGTCCAATTTATTATCTGAATGTGGAAGTCAACAGTCATCGCCCAACGGCTGAAATTTCGCAAATTCGAGTTTTTTTCATCCAGATGTGTATCAAATCTACTCGAATAGTTCCGAAAAATCCAACACTAGTCCGATGGCTGCTGAGAATCGTTGCTGAATTTTACGCGACACGCGCGAAATTCAGGCATCGGGCCGATGACTTCCACATTCAAGCCACATTCAGCTCCCACATTCAGCGCGTGATTGCGGCATGAGGAAAAATATATTCGAAGGTCATAATTGGACCGGGTTAAGCAGAAAGGAACCAAGCTACATCAGCATTTTCCAAATGTAATCGGGCAATTTAGTGTTTTACGTGTGAACGGTTGTGTGGATTTTTGTGCAAATTTCAGTGAATTTTCCGCATATTACTAGGCAAATTCCTTAAAATTTTCAAAGGAATTCGCACAAGCGCTTCTCGTAAATAATGAAATTGCCCGTTTAAATTTAGCAGTAGCTGATGTGGCTTGGTTCCTTTCTTCTAAACGCGATCCAATCCGTTCATGATTTCTTCATCAATTCTGGCCAGAAAATACTCCGGATTATTCATGTAAAAATTCTAACTGTTCAAATCAGGTTTGTAACTTTGGGATGGAGTCCCGCTCCTTTGTCCAATGGGACCGCGTCCAGCAGAAAAGAAACAAGCCACATCAACTATTGCCAAATTTAACCAGGCAATTTCATTTTTCACACGAGAACGTTTGTGCGGATTTCTTTGAAAAATTTTGAGGAATTTTCCTCGTACTATGCATAGAATTCACTGAAATTCGCGCAAAAATTCGTACAACCGTTTTCATGTAAGAAATTAAATTGCCCGATTAAATTAGGCAATAGCTGATATGCAGGGAGAAAAAACCTCGTGCGTGGGACCCGAAGTTCAGGTCATATGGATCTCTAAGGTTTTTGGATTGAGCATCAGAACACTTTAGATCTAGCCGTCGAGGTTCGGATCACACACCTGAAACCTCAGTTCTTACATCTGAAGTACTTCAAATGTGAGAACCGAAGTTTTTCGGATATAAGAACCGAAGTTTTTCGGATGTGAGAACCGAAGTTTTTCGGATGTGAAAACCAAAGTACTTCAGATGTAAGAACTGAAGTTTCAGATGTGTGATCCGAACCTCGACAGCTAGATCTAACGTGTTCAGATGCTCAATCCGAAAACCTCAGAGATCCATATGACCTAAACTTCGGATCCCACGCACGAAGTTTTTTTCTCCGTGTGGCTTGATTCCTTTCTGCTTCACGCGGTCTAGTGCATCGTGCTTTGACGGTTTCATGCGGGTCTGCGAATTAATTTTGGACTCAACTTGTGGCGCCATGCCACCGCGTGAAATTTCGCACCAAAACACTCGGTCAAATTGCAAGTCGCCCGCTGCCGAGAGCACCACCTTCCGCGTAACGCGATTTCCTCGCTTTCGGAGCTCAAAGGGTGCCCGGTGCAATCAGAGAGCTGCACCGCAAAGAGGTCAGGGGGCCCGCCCCACTCTCGCTCAAATTATAAATTACGCCCCCCGGTTCGTTACTTTGTGACGGGGAGTGGTAACGGATTCCGAGTGCCGAGGTTTGTAACGAAGTTTCGGGCCGCAACTCCGCTTCCTTCCACCGCACCGTGGACTCAAGTTACGGCTGTTCCGGTGCAGTGTTTCCGTATTGGTGCGAATATAACCATTTATCTTTAAACCATGGTGTCTAGAACGGGATTAATCCGGGAAAATCCGGGACTCATCAGGGAATGAAATTTTATATTGAAAATCAGGGAAAAATCAGGGAATCTGCTCCAGAAACCGGGAATCTCTTCTTCTACCGCTTAGGGATTATTTCGATTTCAAATTTGGCGGCCTAATCTGTCCGAGCGCTGTTATCAACTTCTTGAATGACACATTTGAAGCTTCAAATCATCAAAAGAATGGAGAAGCTTTCATTGACCAGATAACGTAAACCGGAACACTACCGGAATTAAAATTTTGAATGTGTGCCAAAGAAATGGCTGAAAGATGAATTACAATCTATATTCATGTATGGAAATCTGGATAGTTATATTTTTTCCTCCCAGAAAATCCCCCCCAGGAATGAGCCTGATCAAAAATTTTAGACACCATGCTTTAAACTGGACATGGTGTTGTAGAGGGCTTTCAGCCAGAAGGTGGATGAATGGCGTAGAGAAAAAAGGAGGTGGTCGCATTTCGGGCGTATTCGAGTTTGTCGACGACGTAAGTCGGCTTATCATCGGCTTTTTTTTAGCTACTAGAAATTATTTTAAGTATTTATTCAGCTTAAAATCACTTATGACTCTCCTTTTTCCTCTTTTTTTTTGAAAATTAGACTAATTAGTGACCTTCTGTCATACTCAGTCCAAACGTGTAGGCTTCAAGACTTTGACTCCTTTTTCGTTGTATGCAAAGAAAAGAAAAAGAAAACCCAGAGGGAAAACTCTAATACGTCCGTTTGAGAGAATCGCTCAGCTGTCTTCAATGTAGGCGAGATTTTAAGTTCCCCGAGGAAGATGAGAACCGTTGAGATGAGAGAACTCGCTCACCAAAATCTCAACCCACAATTTTGATAAAACTACACAAGCGCTAAATAAATAAATCATAGTAAAACGAGCATCATCCTCCGTGTTTTGACATCAAAAGTATTAAATAAAGGTCGCAGATTAATTTATCGCCGTTTCTGATTGAAATTGTGTCCCTCACTGGAAAAAAGTCATCTTTTTTCGAGCGATATCTCTTTTTAAGACACCCTGCACCCTGTATAAAGAAAACAGTAGATTTATCTAAGCATGTGACAACCTCGTACTGAACGTCCTTATGCCTTGCGTTGCAATCAGAAACCGCAACGCGACATGACGGTCTCTGGTTGGCGTGGAGAAATCGGACGCCCAACATCCAAACCGCCAACCCGCGAAAGTTTTCAGAAATGCTCGCATGCAAAAGACACTATGCATACAATTTTCAGTGTGCTCTGACCTACAATACCTTTGTAGAAAGAGTGTGGACACCCTTCCTCGAAGGCACACAATTTGCGGCGTGACTTTGGATGAGACGCGAGCTGTTGCCAAATGTTGACGATCAATTTACCACCCACTCTGCCTTGCTAAGGAAAAGCACTGTATGATCATTGCAGCACGTTGCCGAATCTTCTCCCAAAGAGTAGTTGCAGGTGAAGAAGAATGTTTAACTTGATATCTGCAACCGTTCCAAAGTCATGCCCAAAAGTCGATTTTCCTTTGACACGAAAACTCAAAAACTCGATCGAAAACTCGATTTGCGAAAATCGTTTTGATGATCAATTGATACTCGCAAAGTGAAAAAAATTGCACAATTTTAGTGACATTGGTATGCTCCTGGTTTCTTTTTATAAAATGAACTAGGGGCTTACAGGGCTGCTTCGCAGCCCCTCATTTTTTATGTACACCTTTCCCTTTCACATGTCTTTTTTTTAAAATTTATTTTTATTTAATTTTCTGGTTTGTCTTTGAATAGGTCCTAATTTTTTCTTTGAAGTAATAAATATAACAAATTTTTTCAAAAATTGTAAGTTTATTTTGTAAATTTTAAATCAAATTTTTTTTAAACCTTTCATACAAACTTCTTTTTGAGCTTTTACCTATGTTTTCAAACTAAGTTTTTAGTATCGGTTTGTTAATCTTCTAAATACTTTACTCTGTTTTCCTTTTAATTGTTGCTTCTTCTTTTCCGATTTCTGGTCTGCTTTTTTTCAAATTTTTCCTTCAACTCTTCTCTTTTTCGTTCCTCCTTTTGAAAAGGAAATAACTAACAGTGTGAAACGTTCTGATTGGAAATGAGAAAGAAAAATTGGAGGTTATTGACTTGATGAGGAAAAATTGGAAATAGGAAAAAGATGGAGCCAATCACGATTTGGGAGTAAAATTGGAAAAGAAAAAACGCGGGAAGATAATATGACAAAGCGTAAAAAAAACGCGGGAAAAGAAAAATGTAAGTTGATGGCAGTTAAGTGTTGGAGGTAACCTCATTTAATGATGATTGTTAAATGAAAACAGCTGATAAAAAGACAGCAAATAGTAAAGTAAGATGCGTAGCAACAAAACTTTTCCGAAAAACAAAAAAGAAAAAAACCCCACTTCCCCTCATCCAATTTATGAGTTTTTAGGGATTTAAAAATCGGGGACAAACCCCAGAAAATAATTTATAATTTTCCCGAAGCATTGAGTACAACGCCTTTCAAATGAACCAACGCCCCTCGCAATTAGTACAGAGGTTAATTCACAATTTCATTCTATTTTTCAATTTATATATTAAGATTCCATTTATGCATTAACATTGGTTGGACTTGTTGAGTGCCAATACAAATGAGCTGTTTTTAGTGGATTGGTCGGATGGAACACCTCAAAAATTATTCACTCTTGTTTCAGATGAAAACTGGTGGTCGGATCTAGCCTTCCGTCTCGGTTTTGCAATCAAAGCAGCCAATCGAACTCTAGTCAAAAATTTTATCTTCCTCACAAGAAATGACTCTCAGGAATTGTTGGAACGAAACATTTCAAAATTAAAACTATCAATCAATACCGGTAAGTCGTGTTACACCCAACAACATTACTTTGTTTCCATATTTCTATCCATTTTTAATTTGTGTCATGTGTTTTATCTTTGTCCAAAGCTGGCATTGTGACCGACATTGTTGAAGAAATGCATTTTTAGTCCGTCTTTCATTCCTCCCGTCAAAATTTCTAGAGCATAAAAGAAAATTCACTGGGACTCTCAGGAAATTCAGTTCTTTCCAGTTCCAATCGGACGGACCCAACCGTATATCCTTGCCGAATTCCCTTTTTTCTTTCAGTTGTATGTAAGAAAATTCAGCAAAATCATGCTTTGAAACTTTTATTCAATTTATTCACAAAATTTTCACGCAGAACGCTTAGTTTTGGTGCGAAAAAATAATTTATGATTGGATTTAGGCATTATGTAATGAGGCTCAAATGCGGCTGTGGACATGATACGACGGAACACAGACGCGGAGATTAAGTGTGATGTGTAAACGCATGCATTTTTTTTTTTATTTTGCCGGCAAATCCATAATTTGAACAAATTGAAATCCAGTTGAGGAGCAGTACGGATCATGACAGGTATTTTCGAAAAAAAGAAGAAAAAAATGGGACATTGGTCATTTGTTTTGAGCGTAACTGATGTCGGGATGTAATTTATGGATATGAGGACCTTTCCTACCAAACAGCGTATACCGGAAATAGGGTATTTTCCTCGAAAAATACACTAAAAGCAGGTGCCAGAAAATTGCATGTAAAGTTTTCACTGATACTCAGGTCGGAACTAAACCAAAAATGGTTTATTTTTATCAATTATATCCCTGTGGACTGAAATCCATGCAAAGCAGAAGTATAAAACGTTATTTCTGGTCTGCTATGACTAAAGTTTGGATTTACGTTGTAAGCTGTTTGCTCAAAAATAGGTTGTTTCTGAGGGGATTGCTTAAATGAAAACAATATGAGTTGCCGCAAGAATATTTCTTATCAATATTCAATATCAATATATTATTGATTTTCCTACAAAATCGCAATAATTCGATATAAGCGATTGATATATGTACTCGTTACCGTTAAAAATCGATTCTTCAAGAAAAATTACGTAGGTGTCGGTTTACTACCGTCATTTTAGGTCCATTTAGTCATCCATGAATAAAAAATGAACAATTTCAATCCCAAATAATCGTCGATTTTCTGTAAAGAATCTTAAAAAATCGATATACCTGATCGCAATATCGACTCGTCAACATTGAAACTAGATTCTGCGTGTAAAAATACGTAGGAACCGGTGTGATAAACATGCGTAAACAGCGATAACAACTCCGTAGACACATCAATTCAACAAGAAAATAGCGAAAAATAAGGCCGGAGTTTGACCCCTTTGCCCCCCGTGACTCGAAAACGGTTTCTATACTCATCTTGAAATTTTTTCCTGAGTTTTCTGTTATCATAAAGCTTCCACTTAAACCTTGGTTCGATGGTCGAATCGAATGCCGAAAAAGGCTCGAAATTTTTGGAGGCGGTTTCCTCCAGTAAAATGTATATTTTTAAGGAGAGATATGATCCTTTTAGCTTGAAATTTTCAGAAAATTTGGATCGGATTGCGGATTAAAATCAGCCCTTATTTTGGGAGGCTCTTTGGCAACTCTCGAAGGTTCGTACGGCGTTTTTCCTTAGCACGGCAGAATAGCCCCCGTGGTGATTGACGATACAGCACCGGGCCTTTTTTCAAAAGAATTCTTTCTTGTCTCGCAATCGCGATGTTCCTATTTTCCTTATCTAGTGGTTGGGAAAAAGGCTGGATATGTTAGGCAGGAAGTCGTCAGAAAGGAGCAAAAAGGGGTCCGTGCCTCGTAAACGTAAATAAAAACACCGTACGAACCTTCAAGCGCCGCCAAACTTCCTCCGGTAATATGTTTATTTTTAAGGAATGATATGAATATTCTCTCTTAAAATTTTCAGTTGAGTTAGCTTTGATTATACATGAAATTCTCTGGAAAATTTGAGAAAAAGTATTCACAAATTACCCTGAAAAATTATATTTTATCAAAGAAAATCTGGCAACGCTGAGAGGCTCATACGGCGTTCTTCCTAAGCAAGGCAGCATACGGGCTAACAACCTCGATGCGCTTCCTTTTCCTGCACGCTTCCTTCCTCCTGCTGGGCGGGCTTATCTGATGGTCTTGGAAGGAATTTCGGCCTCCGAATCCCTTCCATTACTGCACCGCTCTCAGTAAGTGGCGTTTTCGGAACTTGTCCCGTAAGAAGCTGGCTCTTATCAATTTCACGAATCTTATTCAACGACCCCACACGTATATGTATAAGCGAGACAGTGTCTTAGCTACTTAAGAATCAATAGATGTAACCGTCCCCAGGAAAAGGGATCAAAGGGTGTTTTCATGCAGCCTTCCCCTGAACAGCTCCTTTCCCTCAGAAAGTTTAATATGCTTTACATTGGATCGTATTCGTATTCGTAGTCGTACCAGTGGCGTAGCGTCCTTTGCGATCTATCGATTGTTATGCCATTTAAACCTATGGAAAAGGATCGATAAACAGGTTGTTAGCAGCGAACACCTTAATAATCGATTCTCTACCATTAGTTTGAATGGCAAAACAATCGATACATCGCATTTCACGCCACGCCATTGAGTCGTACCCTACGTACGGTTTAGGAGCTCCTTTTCGCCCCCTCCCCCCAATTCTTTACACCGAATGATCCGCATAGGCTTTTGGTCATTATTTCATCGTACATATGGGTATTTTTAACGACTGATTGTCATGAAGCGCGACTCAATAAATTAATTCTTTTTTTTAAAAAAAAAAAATTAAAATCAAAATGTTCAAGTTGGCAACGCTGTAGCGGGAGAAATTTTTTTGGATTTTGGAAACTTTTAGAAGTACCATTTTAAATGCCATGGAACACAATATAAACGTTTGAACCCCATCCAAACTAAAAAAGGGGTGCGAGGAGTTTTCCTCCGCTCGCCCTCTCAAATTTGACTTTTAAAAACTTTAAAGAGATTCTATTTTCCAAGAGCTCAATAAAACATTTTAATTTTTAGCTAAAATGTTAGTGGAAGTACCCTACTACAAGGTCTTGAAGGTCCCATCAACAGATATTTATATTTTCTTTAAATTTGCTCAAGCACACTGAGGAAGTTGTAAAACTGAGCCGCGAGAACGCATCGAAGCGCCTTCAATATCGCTTGATACCGTAAGCATCACCGCGGAGTTAATTTAGTTGCTTAACCCAACTGAACCTAACATGGCTTGATATTCATTAGTACTGTCTGGAGCGTAAAAAAGGACAACTACTGAGCCGCAAAACTTGTCGAGGTTAGACATCATGAGTTCAATATCTTATTACGGGAACAAAAACAGTACGGACCCGTAGTACGTGTCAAGTACGCGCCGCGCCGAAAAAAAAATCATTTTTGTCATTGGTTTCAACGAAGTTCAGAACTTTGTATTGAAACGACTACAGTCCTTTTAGATGAATCGTAGGAAAAAAACACTTAAGAATAAGGAGATTATGGCTCTCAGCTGCAATTTTTTTAATTACCTTAAAATGCCAGCAAGTCCGGTTTTTGAAAATTTCAAATTCGAAACGCTTTAACCCTGATTTTCGACTTATTGCTATTATAAGGAAAATTCAATGTCCTTCATTACCGGATACCCTCCCCCTCCCATTAAGAATAATGGAATAGATATTTATCTCTGAAATATTCAAGACCCCCTAAAAATGTCCTCCCTCGCTGCAGCGTTGCCAAGTTGAAAATTTTAAAATTGAAATTTTGTAAAAGGACTAAGGCTATTGAGTTTTTGGAATGTGATGGAATGGCGGACATAGCCTTTTTTTTCTTCTAAAGCGTGGTTGCCATTTTATAAATTTTAATTTTAGTTATATTTATTCGATGGTATTTAAGAAACAAGTAAGTCGTCGAATATTCTTACTTAGATTGAAATCCTAAATATTTTCTTAATTCTCGACGAAGTAATTATTGATCCTGTGAGATAGAATTCTCCGTAAAAATGTACATTATGGAATACTATTTTAGAGGGATTTTAGCTCTTGAATGAACGTTTATCTTCAAATCTGGTACACGTCGTAACACACAGAACCTTTAAAATTTTAACTTTTAAATAAATGAGAAGCATTTGAACGAAAAAATAAGAAGAAATGGTAGATTTTCCGTGTTCTCCAAAAAATATTAAAAACTGGTGAGCTCTTCGCCATGAATTTACGAAATTCCTAAAATGTCAAAATCTAACTTTCTACCCAGGCATTTGATGAAATGCCTAATTTTACGAATTTCCCACGACATTTCGACGTTGAAAACACCAGATCATGAGAGCACGTATCTCGGTTTGCGATGTTGTAGACTGAATGTCAAACTTTATTTTTTAAATTGTCAATTACTCGTCACTTCTTGAAAACTTCCGTGTATTTTCCTCTCCATGCGAAGAAAAGTCTGTAAAAATTTCAAGACACGATATTGGTTTGTTCTCCTTCAAAAAAATAAATTGGGAGCGGAGATTTCCAAACATCGCAAACGAGATACTCAGATTGGTAGTTTCACCGTCTATATATAGTCAAGGGATTTCAGCATGTGGCAGACTACAAGGGTCTATTTCATCAAAAAACGAGACCCGAAGTTACAGAATTCCAGTCGTGGTTCCATTGCGCTTCGACAGCAGTGGTCAGTCCGCGGCCAACTCCAACTAAAAGCTCATTAACGTCTCGGTCGCATCCATCGGTTAAGCTTTAATGAACTTTGGAGGGTTTTCTTATCATGTCGGACCTCTTAAACAATCGGTACCGATGCTCTCACTTCGTCGCTGCTCTGATGTAGAAGCGTATCCCGATTTTGCGCATGAGCCCCAGAAACAATGGCGTGGCGTACTTTGCAATATATCGATCGATCTGCCATTTAAATCTATGGAAAAGGATCGATTATCAAGGTGTTCGCAACGAACACCTTAATAATTGATTATTTTCTACAGCTTCAAATGGAGAAATATTGATAATC